ATCATAATAAATATATAAACATTTTTTTTTTTTTTAGATATATCAATATTTAAATAAATAATATTAAAAAATTAAAAACAAAAAATACTTTTATTTTTTATAAATAAAAATATATCTAAAAAAATATTAAAAAAAAAAAATGAATAATAACTCGAACAATACATAAAACGATAAATTAATAGAAAATAACAATTTAATAGAAAACAATAATTAAAATGGAATTAATAATCATCATTAAATATAAAGAGCACATAACATTTAATAAAAATTAATGCATTAGGGAAATTGGTTAAAATTATCCACAATAACATATAAAAATGAGAACGGATAGACAATTCCAGATTGGGAAACAGTAGAGAGAACAACTAGAAAACCTGGATAATTAATTGATGGGGTAGAAGTCATTCCAATAGTAAGATATAAAAATAAGTAAAATAAAATACTTCTTATAGCAAATTTCAGACCTCCTGTAAATGGATACGTTATTGAGTTTCCAGCAGGATTATTAGATAGTAATAATTTATTTGAAAATGCAATTAGAGAATTGAAAGAAGAAACTGGATATATAGCTGAAGAAGTAAAAATGTTAGGTTTTTCTCCTCCTTAATATACAGATCCTTGGAAAAGTAACGAATGTGGATAAATTGTGTGGGCATTTATTGATGGAGATAGGGAAGAAAATTAAAATCCAAAATAAGAGTTGGAAAAGGAAGAAAATATTCACCCTTTTTTAGTTGATTTAGATGAAAATATTATCAAGAATATTTAAAATATTATGGAAACTAAAAATTATCTTATTGAACAGAAAATTTATATGTTTTTACTTGGATTGTAATTTAAATCACTAATTATTTGAATATTATAATTATTTTAAATAAAGTATTTTTAATAATAAATCAATTAAATAATAATTATTTTATAAATAAAATTAAAATCTTAATTATTAAATTATTTATTATTAATTATTAATGTGTTTCAAATAAAATAAATTTTAAATAAAATATATTTTTTTATATAAAAAAAAATATATTAAATATATTTATATTATATATTTTTAAATTAATTTTTATAAACTAATTATATTATTTAGACAAAAAATTTATTAAAAAATGTAGAAAAATTTATTAGTTTTTATATATATTATTATTTTTATTTTATATCTAAATATAAAATATTATATAAATACATGAATAAATTTAATATATTGTGGATTTATTATTATTAAAAGAAAAATAGAATATTTATATAATATATTACAAATATAAAAAATATTATAATATATTATTTATTTAATATATTTTTATTGTAAAAAATAATTTATTATATTTACTATTATCATTATTTTTATTATTATTATTATTATTATTATTATTATTATTATTATATTATTATTATATTTTTATATTTTTATTAATCTTTTTTAATTTTTTTTATCAAGTTTTATATAATTTTATATAAAAACTATTTTTTTTTTATATTAAAAATAATTTAATTTAATTTCATCTTTTTTTATTTTATTAATTTTTGTACTTTTTTTTTCCTTTTATTATATTATATTAATATTTTAATTTTATAACGTTTTTATTTTTTTATTTTAAAAAATTATTTTATTTTTAATTAATTATTTTTCATTTTTATTTTTATAATTAAATATTTTTTTATTTTTTTATCCTTATTAAATCAAATTATATATATATTTTTTTTTTTAAATATATTTTTAATTATTTATATTAAAATAAATATCTTTATAAGATTTATATTTATCTATTCTGAATTTTTAATTTTCTTCTTTTATTGTTTTAGTAATAATGTTTTTTTAAGCCTTTTATTTTTTATGCATTAAAATAATTTTTTAGATAATATTTACTTTTTATTAGCAATATCTTGTTTTAAACTTTTAGAATTATTTATTCTGTTTGTATTATAATTATTAATTATAATTATTTTATATATATAGATATATTTATATATATATATATATATATATATATATATATATATATATATTTATTTAAAATATATTATTATATTAATATTTATAGTTTTTATTAATTTTTTTATATTATATCTAAAATATCAATAATATAATATACATAAATTTAAAAATAAATATTTAATATAAAAGTCTATTTAATTTAATATTAATAATAAATTTAAAACAATTGAAAATAATTTAACACTTTATTATTAAAAATAGAATATTTATTTTTATTTTTTTTATAAATAAAAAAATATATATTTTTTTATAAATAATAAATAAATATGATATTATATAAGAAATTTTTTTACAAAAAATTAAAAAAAAAAAAAAATAATCATTTTTATTTTTAAATATTTTTTTAACTAATAAAGTTTAATTAAGTCAAAACCTATGAAATTTTTTCATATACAATATTAGCATTTATTCCAAAATCATTAGCCAAAACTTTAATTTGCGAACTATCCTTATTAAGATGTTTAATATGTCTTGTATATTCCATATAATTAGAAGTTTTAAACCATTTTTCGCAATTAGGTAGTACTAATATCATTGCATCGCAAACTCTTTCTAATTATTGAATCCCTGCGCCTTAATATTCCAAAGGAAGTTAAGCTTATTTAGTCCAGTCTAGACTAATTTTTAATAGCTCTTATATATTTATATTGTTAGAAATATTTATTTCTGTATTTTAATTAATTAAAGGATGCTTTAATAATTTTTGCAATGAACTTCTTTTTGAATAATTAAATTAGAGAGTATTACACAAAAAACTAATATAGTTTGCAGAAAATCGATCTTTATTTATTAAATTATTTATTGTTAAATTATTTTATGTTTATATATTTATATTTTGTTTTTAGTTTATTATTTAATATATAATATTTTCAGAATGAATTAGACAACATACGTCTTTATATGTTGGATTTTCTTTGTTTTGATCTTCTAATAAGATGTAAATACCTTCAATTATTAAATTCAAATTCTCAAGTGTATTCAATGAACCTACTCCACATATTAATATTAGTAAACCTAATTAAAATATATCATCAGCTTATTAAATTTATTATTTTAACGGAAGATTATTTTATAAAAGTTATTATTGATTTTTAAAAATATTTGGATTTATTAAGCAATCGTAAAGACTTTCAAATATATATATATTTATATAAATATAAATATATACATATATATATAAATATATATACAAATATATTTTTATTTGTATTTAAATATTTGATATTCATGAATTTTTATATAATTTTTTTTTTAAAAAAAAACCTTAATACTTTATCTTAATTGTATTTTACATTTATATTGCTAAAAAAACTACTTTATTAGCAATTTCTATAAGAAATTCCTAAAGAAAGCTTATATTTATAAATATAATTTTTTTGTTTTATTTTTAATTTAAAAAATAATAAAAAATACAAATATAAGAAATAAAAATATATTTACTTTAATTTTTCCATCTTACTTGAATAATATTTAAGAAGGTGACAAACACCCAAAACAATGACTTGATTAAGAATGAATTTTATCAAGAGCTTCAATAATTTAAGGAAGCATTATTTTAATAACATTCTCAGGTAAAGTTCCCACATTTTCTAATAAATTCTATTTTTATATATAAATTATATTTATTTTTTTCATAAATATTAAAAATATATATATATATATATACTTATAAACTTCCCCCAGCTAATAATTCAGTTAAAAAAGATACACATCCTTCAGGAGTATTCCAAAAAGTAGCATAAAGCTTTGCATGCAAACCAGTAGAATGTAGTTTATTTTACCAAAAAATAGTCCAATCTTTTAAATTTTTTCTTACTTCTTTATTACATACTGGCTGTTCTTTTAATGCGTATAATTTCAGTGTTGGTGCATGGAGCATTTTTTTTACAGTTCCGGAATCATTTGAATATCTCATAATTCCGATTGTAATCATTTCTTGTAATTATATTTTCGATTGTATAATTAAGTTGTTTTTTATTTATATTTATTGTTGCTATTGTGGAACTTCTAGTGATAATTTATTCATATTTATTATATAATTTTTTAATGGATTTAATGGGTTATTTAATTTCTTTTATTATAAAGGTTCTAAAAGATTCTATACTTGCTTATATTCTTGGTGTTCAATCATATTATCAAGGTTTTTGGCGGCTTAGTCTTCAATGTTGCTTTTGATTATTTTTGTATTAAATGCTGATGGAAGTTTGTTAGAATTTATTTTTGGAATGCATTTTTTTAAGGTTTGGCGTAGTTCTTCTTCTTGTTTTTACTTTATTTAGTCTTGCTCATCATTTATTAATATATTTTTATATTAGTCTATGCTTGTTTTCTTATGGTTTAATATGCTTCTTAATTATTTTTTATAATATATATATATATTTATTTTTTTATTTTACTTTTCTTCCATTTTATTTAAATATTAATTTTTTTTTTTAAATTTTTTAATTTTTTTTTTGTAGTTTTTTCATATGGTTTTTTTTTTTTTTTTTTTTTTTTTTTATTATTTTTAATGCTAAATAATTAAAATGGATTTTTTTAGGTTTATTGGTATTATAAATATAAAAAATTATTATAATTTATTTTAAATATAATATATATAAATAAAAATATTATTTTTATTGATAATTTAAAAGTTAAAATATTATTTTAGTTTTTATTATAATGAAGATTAAATATTTAATATTATATGTATTAATTTTATGATATTCTCTTTATATAAATTCAAATCATATTATTTTTTTACAAAATGTTTTATAATTTATAAAAAACTTTAGTAGTTATATAATTTTAAATTTAATATTTATAAAAAAATAATAGCATATTAAAAACATTATAAATATAAATTAATAAAAATTATATTTATATTTATTTTATAAATATTCAATTTGCCTTATAATTTAGTTTATGTATATTATAAAATTATAAATTAAAATATATAATTCTTTTAAAATAATATATTTGAAAAGTTATAATATATTAATCAAAATATTTTTAAAATTTATCATATAAAAAATATTAGTATATTAATTTTTCCATAAATATATAAACTTTATAAGCTTTTAAAGTATATAATATAATAAGAAACTTATTTAATAATTAATATCAAAAATATAATTTATATCAAAAATAACCTTTAAGTTTATCTTAAGTTAAATAAAACATTAATGTATTTATATTTTAATTATTATTATTGTTATTCTTTTATTTAAAAAAAAGTATTTATTGTTATTAGCTTTTTATTATTTAATAATAATAATTATTTTTTATATTTTATTATTATTATAGTTAACAAAAGAGAATATAAATATTTAAATTATTTTTTTAACTAAAACTATTGATTTTCTATATTTTTTTATAGATGTAATTATATTATTATGTTTTTTATACAAAAATAATATATCTTTTTTATTTTTATAATATTCATACCCTATTTTTAGATGTGTTTATTTTTTTCTTTTTATATATATTCATCAAACCGTATTAAAATATTTTAAATTATCAAGGTTAAATCAGATAGCTTTAAATTCATTAACACCACTAATTTTGGGAAACCATTTAATATTATTACTGTTAATTTTTAAAATAAATTATAAACTATTTAAATAATATCGTGCTTTTTTATTTGATGATGAATAAAATTCTTATACTAATTTATTACTTAATATAAAACTTTATAAATATTGTATTAATTTATGTAGTTTAAATTTTTTTACAAACTACAATAATATAACTTTTTAGAAATTATTGTTTATTTAATTTTATTTCATTACATAATAAATGTATTTATGTATAATAATTTATAAATAAAAAATAAATTTATTCATTTATTAATTTATTTATATTTATTTTATTAATTAAATTATAAATATTTAACTTATATATATATATATATCATATATAGAAATATTATTTTAAGTATACTTGCTTTTAATGAATTTTTGTTTGTTTGTTTACTTTTCTAATTAAAGTTTATAATAATTTTAAAATAAATATATAAAAAGTTAAATAAACATTTTATTAGTAAACATAATAAATAAAAATATTTATTAAAGGTCTTTAGAAATAAAAATAAATAGTCCTTTTTCATAATATTAAAATTTATAATATGGAATTAATTGATATAGATTATAATCATCAGCTTTTTATCGTAAAAATAAATAAGTATTGTTAATATTTAGTCAATATAGAAAATTTATCTTTTAGTGATAATAATTAATATTTTCCCTATTTAATATGAAATCTATATTTAATAATAAAATTAAAGTTTATTTTTTTGTTAAAATAAATATAAAATAATAATTATTTCTTATTAAATAAAAATATTTTTCATGATTGTTATGAAAAAACTACTATTTTTTTATAAAAATAATAATAATTAGTTTTATTATTTAATTGTATAAAATTTGATAAGATAAAATAAATTATAAATAAAATAAAATAATAAAAAATAAATATATTAATTATTATACTTAAGTTATAAAAGAAATAGTATATAAAATAAAAAGAGGAAACAAATTTTTTTGGATGAATTTCTTTGAATTTTTTTTTTTTTTAAAAAAAAAAAAGAAATTTCTTACATTATTATTTTCTAGAAAATGTTTTTTTTTTTTAATCATAAGATTTAAAAAATTATATTTTATAAAAATGTTATATTTATAATTTTAAGTAAAATAACAAAAAAAAATTATACTAAAATATATTTGAAAATATTCCTGATATTTATGATTTTAAAGAACATAAAAAAAGTCAAGAAAATTATAAAAATATTTTAGAAATTTAAGCCATATTAAAAGAATAAAATAATAATTTATTATAAAATTTATTTATTTAAAATTAAGAATATTTTTTTTAAATTTGGACTTTTTAATAATTATGTATAAACACTTATGATTAAAAATGAGTTTCTTTTAAATTTTATTAAAAATAATAATATTAATTATTATGTTTGTAGAGGAAGAAAAAGTTAATTGGTTTAAATATTTCAATTAGAAAAAAAGTTAATTTTAGTCATTTTTTTGGTTAATATTTACTAAATATATTACATAAACATACATATATTTAAATATTTAATAGAAAAATAAATTTAGCTTTCTATAAATTTATGTTTTTTTATTTATTTAAAATGAAACTATATAGAAATAATTGATTAATAAAAAATTTAAATGAAAATTAAATGTTTATTAAAAATTACTTCTTAATAATAAGATAAACAAAACACATCCCCTTTATTTTAAATAACCTTTAGATTATATTTTAACCATAAAATTTATAATTCTTATATATTTTTTATAAATATAAATTTAATTATTAAATTAAATAGTCTTTGTTAATGATTTTAGTTAGCAATATAACAAAATATTAAATAAACTTATGAATCTTTTTAATTATTAGAAATAAACATTAAAATATTTATAAAATATTATGTCTATTAAAGTATATATTAATGTATTTAAATATCATATTTATAATAATTTATTGTTTATATGTAAATTATATTATCATATTATTTTTTATTATTGACTTTTTTAAAATAAAATATTAATTTAAATATTGCCCACTTTATATATTCTATTATAAAATATATATTATGCTTTTTTTACATTGATGGTTGTTTAAAACATATTTTTATATATTCGATATAATAAATGTGTCTAGAATAAAATATTTTTACAATTTATTTAATTTTATTTATATTATTATAAAAAAATAGAAGTTTAATTATGTATATTTTATTATTTATTTAATAATTATTATATTATTTTTTTTAAAAAAAACTATTTAATTTATGATTAGGTGAAAAAGCCAAATATTCAAAAAGATTAAAAATGAAAATAAGTAGAATAAATAATAAAAAATAGATAGAAAATAATAATGATTTATTTAATAAAATACAGTTTGTTTTTATTATTTTTAAATTTAGTATTGTATAATTATTATCAATAGCTTTTACTTAAAAAGTTTAATATTCTAAAAAATGTAATTATATTATTCAAACATTTTATAATGATTGTAAAACAAATTTATATTTAATTTTTGACCAATATTGTATATAATCAATTATTTTAAAAGTAAAATATAATAAAATTAGATTGTACTTAATAATAGATTTATTATTTGAAAAACTAAATTTTTATTTTTATTTTTTCAATAGATTTGGATAGATTTTGTTTTTTTCATATTATTGTTACTTTTTTATATATTTTGGAATATGAATTTGATTATGGTTTCTTCGTTTTTTATTTTTTTATTAGGAAATGTAGTTTCTTAAATTTTCATTTTTTTAAAAAAAGAAATATTAAATTGTTTATAAAATATATAAAATAATTCTATTTTACAAAAATTTAAAATAAATAAAAAATATATTAGAAGTTATTTATATATTTATTATATTTATTATTGAAGTAAAAAATTATTTAAATTTAATTCTCAATTTTCTATATAAAATAATGACTTTTTTTTGAATTAAAATATAATGAATTATTTTAACAATATATGTAACTTTAATAAAATAACTAATTAAAATTATTTAAAAAAAAAAAAAAATTATAATAAAAATATTTTTATAAGAAAAATTGGGAATATTTTTTTAAAAAAAATTAATATTCTAATTTAATATTATTTTTTGATTTTAAAAAAAATATATTTTGAATTTATTTATTGATTTAAAAAAAAAAAAAATTTAAAATTTTTAAAAATAAATGAAAATATATTTAAAAAAAAAATATATATTTTCTTTTTTATTTATTAAAAAAAAAAAAAAAAAATATATAAATACAAATAAATTATCAAATATTAGAAATCAAAAAAATATAAAACCAAATCAAAAAAAAATAGAATAATATATATATTAAAATAAAATTAAAGAATCATTATTATTAATATTAAAGATAATAATATTATTTTTTTTTAAATTAAAAAAAATGTATAGAAACT